TTAATTTTTTTTTTTCAAATAGTTTAGGGATTTAATATAAGTTAAATACTATATTTATTAACACATTTATAGAACATATTTTTTTAAATTTTAAAATATTTTTGTTTACCCGACCAATCGTACTTTTTTTAATATTGTAAAAATAGTTACGGTAACATTTATTAGTTTTTTTACTTTTAATCTAATTTATGAATGCAATTATATATATATATATATATATATATATATAATAATTTGTAAGTGTGTGTGTGTGTGTGTGTGTAATTTTTTTTTTTTTTGGGGTGGTGGGAGGTAATCCGACATTTTTTAAAAAAATTAATTGAAACTATATTTATAGTGGCTCCGTCTATATGAGTAGATGCTCTGTTGATTTTATTTCCCCGATCGGCCGACGCACACAAAAGAACTTAACCAAGAAAAATGTGCCTTCCTTAAAACTTCTTCGTTGCTCACATGCATTCTCCATTCATGATATTCTCGGCGTCCTTCAGTAAAACCACATTTCTGTCACCTGATATCTCTTCTTCACCTGTGAGGAAATTGGACAGATTTCTTTGCTATGTAGGAGGACTGATATTACATACCTTTCCAACACTCCATAAGCGTTAGTAATTCTCAGCCTTTACTTATTATTTACGTTGGTCATATGAGAAGGGGCAGGAATCAACCAAGTACACGTGTATTAAAGCAGATTTACACACACACATATATTTAAGAAATGTTTACTGGCAAAGTTATTTTTTAAAATACTGTGCAGGTTATATATAAATATATAGAGAGTCTAATATAAAATTATATGTGTGTGCGTGTGTGTGCTGATATTCCCTGTAATATGGACCGATGAATGTCTGTCTAGGAAACTAAAGTCGGATGCTGAAGGTAAAACCAATCAAAAGTGACAAACATGTATTTGTATTAAATATATATATATATATATATATATATATATATATTTATATATATATATCTCCAAAAATATAGATTGGTGTATACGGAATAAATTCCAATAACCAACAAATACTATTCTTAAAAAATTGTTCAATATATAGAAAGTATATATAATTATTTTTTTTTCAAATTATAAAATAAATGGCTGTTTTTGTAGTGATTTTTATAACATATTTATGTTATAATCTTTAAATAAATAATCATATATATATTATAGGATTTTTTTTTTAGTACGCTAATACGTGAAATTATTTCATTTTTTTCTGTCGATAGTTTAGGTTAGAAAATCAAAATTTTATTAGAAATTCAAGAAACGATCCCAACTTGAAATAATCGGATGTCTATATATATATATATAAAACATAATAAAGTATATATATATGGTATAAACCTAAAAGACCATTCCAAAAACATTTTCAGATATTTTAATGTCTAGATCGTCAGTCCGCATTGACGATCCTGGAGTGATTGAAACCTAGGTAGGTTTGTCTGGCTCTTTAGGTTTACTAAGTTTTGTTTTTACTTTTATTATTGAGCACTTTTGTTTAAAGATTTTACTTTACTTATGTTGGAGGTTTTTTTTCTTTGAACTCTGAACTTAGATTCTAGAGACGATTATTTTTGCCGGAAGTATATGTTCTTAGTTCTTTTTAAATTTTCTTTTTTTTTTTTTGGGTATTGGTTTGTTGAATTACAAAGCTAAAACACCTAAGGTTTTGCCGGACGAGTATTTAGCTGCTTATATTTATAAGATTATTATTGTTAAATATATATATATATATATATATATATATATATATATATATATATATATATATATATATATCTCAATCAACATCTCAGAGGTGACATTTTTCATTTTGCAATTTCAATCTTTAAACCACTGTTTTGTGGACCTCAGTGCCTATTTTCTTTATTTACATATGCTCTATTCTGATATTGAACCAGTTAACCTCTAATTATATAAAAATGATTTTTCAATATTGAGAAAGGCCATTCCATTATAAAGATCAGAAAATTGTTTCATCTACAAAGTGGGGGAAGTAGGGTCGAACACTGTCGGAGAGCACATTCAGTTTTTTTTTTTTCATTTAAAGTCTCTCGAATGTGTAGGCCTGTAGACGTAATTCAGAGTGTTTAAAAATAAGAGGCGTTTGTTTAAAACAAATATGGACACTAAATTAACGTTTGAAGTAATAAGAAATTGTATTTTTTGAAAATAAAACCCATTATATATATATATATATATATTATATATATATATATATATATATATATATATATATATATATATATTTTTATATAATATTAATTTGGGAGAAAAAGAAAAGTTATAGAGGGAGAGGTTGCTTTTTTTAAAGGTTAATAGTAATCGAAACCCGGGTTCAAATTCCAGCAACAAATTTGCCTTAAATTCACACACCTGCTCTTTGGAAAAGTATTAGTTCTTCTGAATAAGTGTTTCGAGTCAAGAATTAATCTATTTTACTATTCCTATATAACAATCTACAACTAGTCGCTTCTTATTTTAGAAGAGACGGTCACCGTTTAATTGCAGAGGATTGCCATAAAGTAAAAAACAATATAACAGTTAATGACACACACATGGTATTATATATATATATATATATATATATATATATATATATATATATATATATACCTTATTTACATATGTCTTATATATATTCTCTTATTTATATATGTCTATATAATATATTTTATATATTCATATGTCTTATATATATATATATATATATATATATATATATATATATATATATATATATTTTCTCTTATATGTTTATATATATATATGTCATTCTATCCATATATATATATAGTAGACTTACTATATATTGTCCTTGGATCTGGAACTATTATGAATCTATCTCTCTATTCTATATCTGCGGAGGGTCGTTTGGGAACCTTGTGGCACTTAGTGTATCAGGTCTCTGTATTCGTCCCTTCAAAAAGTGTGGATGGTTCTGCACGAAGCCTTCACCACTATAATCAAATCTCATGTGTCGTTGTCGGGCTGTTAGTTTCCTGGAAACTGATCTCCTTGACCCTCATACGTCGAATATCGACGGGAGAGTCGATTATATATATATATATATATATATATATATATATATATATATATATATATATATATATATATAGAGAATATCTATCTATATTTATATTGTCATATACATATATATATATATATATATATATATATATATATATATATTATTGTCCTATATACCTTTGTAATATTCACAGCTGTTTACGAATAATTGTATTATCCTCAGCGACAGTACGACTTAAAATTCATGTATAAAACCCGAATCGTGCAATTGGACATAGGATTAGGTTTATATATATATAACTATATATATATATATATATTGAGAGAGAGAGAGAGAGATGTTCACAGGGTAAAAAAAAATAATATATTTTTAAATCGTTTCATTTTAGTACGCGATAATTCCCCTAGAACGCATCGAGTTACAGGGAGTGAAAGTGAAAGAGAATTAAATGACTATGAATAGAGAAGATTGAGGAACAGATAAAAAAGAACAGGTTCTAAGAAAATGGAAGATGGGCATTGACGTTGTACTGAAATTTTTGATAAAAAATATGTCTGTTGATATATGTATATATAGTGAAACCTAGATTAAAGATATGCAGGAACACATTTTCTAAAATTAGCATTTTTGAATTTTAAAAATAAACTTAATATAATTATATACATTTATTTTATATATATATATATATATATATATATATATATATATATATATATATATATTAGTTAGCTCTATAAGACCCAAATATGAGTAAGACAAACAGGTCATCCTTAAAAAATATGAACATAAGTTGATATAATCTCCAAATTCATCAAATATGAAAAACGTACAGTGATTTACTTTTGGCTTTTCAATGCTGATGATAAAGACGACATGACTTATTTTACATAAGTAACTATGTATACTTAAATAAATGTAATTTTTATTGCACAAATTCCACATGTTCAATTAATTATATATATATATATATATATATATATATTTTATATTATTATATATATAAATATATATAAAAGAGGAGGTACTTATAATGTTCTTAGTCCAATTACAAACCAGTTTCTGTATATTTTCCAATATTCCAAGAATTTATTTGAAATCACTTTATGCTACCTGAACACACAAAACAATGATATATATATATATATATTATATGTATGAATGTCCATAATAGAATATATATTTGGTTCGTTACAAATTTATATCAACATAAACCAGTAATACAAGAGATGTGTGTTTTAATATTGGTTTATGTAGATATATTTTAACGATCATTTCATATATTTATATTTGATATATATATTTGATTACATTGATTTCATTGTATCCAACTTTCATGGTGGCTTTAGAAAATCAATATCAATAAGCTATGGTTGTCAGAATAAAAAGGAAATTTAAAATTTTTTTCTATAAACATGATTTATATATATATATATATATAAAAGAGAAGAGAAAAAGAATTTACAAATGCGTGTGTGTGTGTGTGTGTGTGTGTAAATTTGAAAATTTTTTTTTAGCAATAGAACGTTTTAATTTCTGAACCCGATCAGCATGTCATGTCTGTGTTCATAATTCATATGAATGACATTTACCAACTTCTATCCGCAATAAGATTGTAGAAAACAAGAAAAAAAATTCGGTCATCTAAATGCTAGAAGTAAAAGTACAGTCCTGTAATGGAAGACCCAATGCCAAAAGTAAATAATTAAATAAATAAGGAAGATAAATTTCAAAAAATCAATTAGAACACGGGATTAAAACAACTGAAAATATTCATTTTTTAAAAAACATTCCAATTGATCAAAATGTAATATAGAAAACGATATTCGAAAGAAAAAAAAAAAAAATGCAAAGCATATTTTATAATGGAAAATGTGATATACTAAAATGTTCGATCCACCCATCATTTGATAGATTTTTAACCATTCCCAGAAAGGTAATCACTTTTACGGATGCAAGAAAAATATAATAAAAATTTACGGCCATATCACGTTGACTCATCGGTTCTCGTACGATCACCGAAGTTAAGCAACGTCGAGCCTAGTCAATACCTAGATGGGTGTCTGCTTTGGAATGTCAGGTGCTCTAAGCTTGGATGGTCGGACGGTGTAAATGTATAATGGTTCGCCATTGGAAAAAAATGACCGAGTTCCAATTCCAGGCAGGGTTCATTATATTCATCTACCCCAAATACTTATGAAATGTATGAATCCACCTCTTCCCCTATAAAACAATTAAACAGATGGAGGTGTATCCATAAATTTATCTCCAAAACAAAAAGAAAAAATTATCTAAAACCGTTTTTCTTTTTTAAATTAACCAGAAAAAATGATAAGCCTAAAAAGAAAAAGAAAAGAAAAAGAGAAATCAATCAATAGTCAGTTGTAGATTCACATTTTGTACCAAGTTAGGCGTTTTGTTTTTAACTAATCATCTTGAAAACTCATTATCAAACCAGATAATTTGAGAAATATCCCACATCTATTACTTGTTCCACGTTATATAACATTTTTTATAGAAATGGAGTCGTTTTATGCTTATTTATATAAGTGTTTTTTTTCCTGCTCCCTCGACATTATTTTTTATTCTGTATGGGTTCCTGTCGGAGTATTTTAATAAAAAAATAGATTCTTACGCAAGTCAGAGGGTGAAGGGCTCATTTTTGAAAGGAACCTTCAATTATTTAATCTGATTTACGATTGAACAATTACGCCGTTTAATCAAAGAAATAGCAGTAACTGTTATTTTAATAAGGACAAACGCGAGTTCTTTTAATTTTGGAAACAAATATATGAAAAAAAAGCAAATAACAAATAACAAGGGCCTGAATCAGAATTAGTAAAAGAGTGGGGGAAAGGGTTAGATTTTATCAAAAACGAAATAGGGTATGGTTTACTTGTAAATCAGAGAGAGAGAGAGAAGAAAAGAAGAAGAAGAGAGAGAAATTATTTAGAAATCACTTTTGTGATTTTCACGAGCAAGAAATTACCTGGAACAGAAGAGACAAAAGACGCATTGGTCCAGGCTGTTACATTGCTTCACGAACATAAAAATTGAATAAGTTTCAAAACGATAAATTTATAAAACAAACATGATTGATAGATAGACAGATAGATTTGGAGGATAAATCAAAACTATGGTATAAGAGATAGATAGATAGACAGATAAAACAAATTTATAGATAGATGCGATAGATAGATAGATAGATAGATAGATAGATAAAATAAAAACAAGAAGACAGATAGATAGATGGATATTGATAGATAGATAGATAAAACAAACGAGATAGATAGATGATGATAGATAGATAGATATGAAGAATAGTTTTCAAACGAGATAGATAGATAAATAGAATGATAGATGATAGATAGATAAAGAAAACAAACCGATAGATAGAATATAAAAAAGATAACAGATAGATCGCCATCAAGAAGATTATAAATAAATAGAATTTATTGATAGATAGAAAAAAAATTCGAGATTTTTAATAATGACAATAGATAAAAAAAACCGATAGATAGATTCAGAAAAAACAAAATAGATAGATAGATAATAAGATTGATAAAACAAATGAAATTTATAAATAGATAAAATAGATTTTACAAACCAGTAGATAGAAAGATAGATAGAATGCATAATAAAACCGACGAGATTTTTAGATGTTTAGATTTATTTGAAAATAAAACAAACGAGATAGAATAGATTGACTGGATAGATTAAACTTTTTTAGATAGATAGATAGATAGATACATTCTATAGATTGATAGATAGATAGATAGATAAAAAAATTGATAGATAGATTTTAGATAGATAGATAGATTTTCAGAAACGGGATAGATTAGAAAGATTTTGAAGAATGAAGATAGATAAAATGAAAGTTTGATTGTAGATAGATAGATAAAACAAACGAGATAGATTTATTGATAGATAGAAACAAAACGATAGATAAATGAATTTTATTGATAGATAGATCAATAGATAGATAGAATGATAAATAGATCCAACAAATTATAGATTATACATTTTATGCTTCAAACGAGATAGATAGATAGATTGAATGATAGATAAATAGAAAAATAGATAGATAGATATAGATAGAAAGATAGATAGATAGAAAACAAACGAGATAGATCATAGATAATGAGACAGATAAAAAAAAGAGAGATAGATAGATAGATAGATAGATAGATAGATAGATAGATAGATGTTTAAATCCATAGATAGATAGATAGATTGATAGATAGATAAAACAAAAGGTTGAGGGATACTGATAATAAGCAGAGAGGTAATCAAGATTGAGAGAGATAGATAGATATTGAGATAGATCAAGATAAAAGAAACGAGAGATAGATATCCTAGGATGAATAGATTGTAGATAGATAGATATATATAAAAAATGGTCTCAAATAGATAGATAGATAGATGATAATGGATAAAACAAAAAATATAGATAAATAGATAGATATATAGATAGATAGATAGATAGATAGATAGATAAAACAAACGAAAAATGATAGATAGATTCATAAAAATAACGAGATAGATAGACAAATGAAACAGAATGAATCTAGATATATAGATAAATAGATAGATGATTAGAATGGTGATAGATGTAGTAAGTTAGCCTTGAGGAACAATGCCATTGTCTTCAATCCTCATTGGGTTCTTCACACTTGTGGACTTGAACTAAAGTGGATAGATATATAGATAGAACGATAGATAATGAACAAACTGAAATAGATAAATAGATTTAAAGAAATAATGGATTGGAATATGAATGATCAAAAGGATTTTTCCTTCATTTGATGGATAAGTTTTGAATAAAATGTTAAAAATGACTTTATTTCTTGTCTTATATTTATATATATATATATATATATATATTTATATATATATATATATTGTATTTTTTCTATTTTATACTTTTATATCTATAGTAAGCAATTGATTTTTTTTTGTATTTTTCAATATATGTATATATATCATATATATATATATAATCCCCTATACATAAGAATGACCAACAACAAACCATGAAAGTGTGTGTGTGTATGGGACAGTTGTCAATGTATATATATATACCACAATAGTGACTGTGTGTTTTATACACCCTATATGTGTGCATATATATATATATATATATATATATATATATTTATATGTTGATTTTATTAGCCCTTGCAGACAATTTAAAGTCTAGGAATGTACCCTTAGTGGTATTGGAATTCATCTATGAAAAGATCTTTGCATCTGATAAAAAAAACTTGTCCTATAATCTCAAACTTTTCATATGTAATGGTTTATACACACATTTAAATTGAATCAATATTTTTTAATTAAAAATTAAATACAGTTCTTGATTTTATATATATTATTTAAAAATAGTTTTATATATATATATTTAATATATATATTTTAATTTTGAAATACTTTAAATTAATGGATTGTTTGAGTAAAATTTGGATTTTCTAATATAGTGGTATTTCTATCTATTTATAGATTGATGGAAATAGTTCATTTATCAATAAATCATTTTTAAGAGAAGAACTTTTTATAAAAGAGTCGTTCATAAAAAAATGGAAAACATTTTCTGATTTTTTAACGGAAAAATTTTTTAATTTAATTCATATATTTTTCTATTTTTTATAAAATGGTATTCATTAATTTTTTCTCCAAAAATGAGCATATAAAATATTGGATTTTTTATCTTAAATATTCTTATAGCTTGTTTAGTATGAACAAAGTTTACTATAATGGATAATCCTTATATTTACTAATCTTTTCTTTTTATTCTATTTAAATTTATATATTTTATGTATATTTTAACAAAAACTGTTTGTTAATGGATTTAAATGATTTGGAATTTTTTGTTAAGATTCAGTATTTAATCATTTTCTAATATTTCATGAAAATGTTTTAATCATAGCAGCAGTCATTAAAAACACTTCATAACCTAACAGGAATGGATTTACTCTATTTACTCAAGAAAAATATTGGGATTTTATGGCTTATTATCCTGAAAATAAAAATTCCAAATTAATGTCATTTTTATTTTTAATTCAGTGACATTATATATAAAATATAAATATATACAAATTTTTCCATTTCCCCTCTTGTTTACATTTTAAAAGAATAAAATTAAAATAAAAAAAAAAATATACACCGTATTTCCCTGAAACCACCATTGTCCTTGAATAGTACATGTTTTTGATAAACTGTTTATTTTATACAATGTTTATGAAGAAATTAAATTCCTTAATGTTTATTGTCATATTTAATCTAAATTTTAAGCTGGTGTTAAAAAAAATAAATATCAAAACATATCCTAATTTTTTTAATTCATGCATACAAACATACAACACCGTAATTTGCTTGCAATATGTGAATTGTTTTATATAGTTTTAAATATTTATTTAAGATAAAATTTGTATATTCTATTATTTATAGATTTATATATGTTGCATTCAGATATAAAAGAAATTATGATTTTAAAAAATTTAAATTTATTAAATATCTAAAGTAATATTTTGAATGAAATTATTTTAACATTAATCATTTAATTTCAGATACATTTTGGCAATTTTTTTAATTCCTTTCTTCTCCAGATATACAAAACAGAACCAACAAATAACAAATATTATTTTTTTATTTATATAAAAATATTTATTTTAATGATATAAACATCATCTATATGATTTTGGAATAACTTTGGGCATTATAAAACCTAATTATCAAATTTAAAGATTTACTATGATTTTTCATATTATATTTTTAAACTGATTCTATTCTAATCATATGCCCCAAAATTAAAAATAATCAAAAGGAATTCAATTTGATTGCAATTATTCATTTTTATTCTTTTTGTGTTTTTGAAGTTGGAGAATAAATTCATAAAGTTAATCATGCGAAATTTTCCTTTCTTTTTCCATAAATGTTTTAAATGAACTAATTCGTTTTATTAATTTTTATTAAGATAAATATCATATGTTTTGTCAAAGAGAAAAAAAAATTTATCTTTATTGTAAATGGATTTGTTTAATAGTTTTATATAATTTACAAATTAGATAACTTCTGTTTATTTACCA